GCAGAAAATGGGTTGCAGTTTGCCTGCTCTGGAGCCTTTGAGTCAGAGATTAGAAATGAGAGTCCTCTTGTTTCTAAAAGCAGTATGTATGAGAAGTGTTCTGTCATGTGAACACATGAATACTTTTCAGGGAGATAAATGAATAGGGATTTTACTTTCTTACCAAGGGAAGAAAATGAAAGGGGCAGGGAATCACAGTCACCCTTGGCAACAAACGGACAGATCCTATTTATCCCTATGTGCCCTCTAAATATTTTCTCTATTTTTGCCACTGCAAATAAATGTATATGAGCTGCTTTTACATCTTTCATCCAGATTTTATGCCTCTATTTTCTCTATTTTAATTGGTACTTCTTTATAACTTGTAGTGAAACATAACATTAGAATTACCTAAATTGTAAGTTTGAGATTGGAGAATGCTCACAGATTGAACACAGTGATCACAAACAAAATATTTCAGGCACCCCAGGAACCCGGCCTGTGACTCTTCCCATTCACCACCTTCTCCCAAAGGTAGCCACTATCCTGACTTCTAACACAGTTTTGACTATTTCTGAAATAGAATTACGGTGGGCTTTTTATCTTTTATTCTTGTTCTTTGTGTCTGTGGCTTGACATTTTTTGTGAGACTTATTCATGTTGTTACATGAGGCTGTAGGTTGTCCATTTTTGCTGGTGTGTATTCCATTATATGAATATGTCATGATTCATTTATCCATTCTCTTTTAGGGAAAAATGGTCGGCATTAATTTGGTGATTTTGCAAATAGGGCTGCTGTAAATTTTTTTTTACATATAAATACAGGTTTGAATTTAGAGGATACATATATATGTATATACAATACATATCCTTTAGTGCATCATGCCAAATAATTTTCAAAGAGATGGTCCTGATTTGCACTCCACATACGTGGATGAGAGTTCTGTAAAAAGTTCTTCATCTTTACCTCTGCCTAATGCTCATGTGACCTCTATGTTTTCCACTTGGTATCCAGATATCTGAGTCTGTAGCTAAGCTTTCTATTCAGTTACACATTTATTTGTTAACATCTGATGCTATGCAATGTTGTTTTAATTACTATACTGTAGCTTTAAAATAAATAATGGTATTTTCCTTCTGCTTGTGTTCAGAATGGTCTGGGCTTTTCTTGCCTCTTTAGTTATCTCTATCAATTTGTCAATTAATCAAATTCCATTATAAAAATCTGTCATGATTTGATTTGAGTTATATTGGGCTTATAAAATATTTCATTTCTGTGCAGTTTCCATGCCCCAAATTGTTTTAGTTTTATTGTTTTAACATATATTTTTGATTTTATCCTATTTGTTAAATGAATTGATTACACACTACAGTTATTTTGGATTCCTCTCCCTTCATTCTGCTCCTGTTTTCACTTTCCTGAAGTACACCTTTGGGAGTTCTGTAAATGTCTGTGAATGGTAAGAATCTTGGGTAATTATTGTGCCATCACCCTTTAGGCTTCCTATCCTATCCCTATTTAGAGATGAAATTCTTATCCCCTGAGACGCTGGGATGCAGCAAGCTGACACCACTCAGCTGCTCACTCTCTTCAGGAGTCAACTAGTCTGAGGTCACATCCTTTCCTTTAGCAGTCCTCATGAAATGACTGAATGTCACAGGTGTACAAAGGCCCAGGCCACCTGCCTGGTTCAATATAACTCTGAAGAAACATCTCAGATTCATAGCAGAGGCTTCACTGAGACTACATGCAGGTCAGCTTTTCTCTCTGCCCAATCCTGTTACCATCCCTTCCCCAAGCATTGTTCCCACTTTCCCTAACACATTCCCTATACTCATCTTTGACTCAGAGTATCTTCCTGGGGAAGCCATCCTTAGGCAATTAGTGGGAAATGTGGTCCAAGAAAGTAGAAACTAAGATAGGATTTAAAACTTGAATCATGGCTGCCTGACTGCCAGTGCAGACTTCCTAACTGTTGATAAGCTAAGACAGATAGACCATGACACAAAGTAACAGTGCAGTAGTTAAAACTTTCGTCAATAATGAACTGGGATGAAATTCTAATAGAAGACAATATTCTAGTGCGTGCAATGTATCAAGCATTTGAGAAATATGAGGCAAATAGTTACCTTAAGGACAATGGCATTGACTGTTGCTAAGTAAAATTAATTCTTTGGAAATAGCAAAAAGCAGGGAATGGTTAATTGGCCGTTAAAATCGAACAGTAAAATGGAGAAGGCCTCTTTGGTAGCAAATAAAGAGGCTTTTATTCTGCAGTGGGAAGGTAGAAAAAGCTGAGGAACAGGCCTAGCAGTTAATCATAAGTGAGGCAGAGTTCCAAAGGGGATTATCCATGAAACCCAGCTAGGAAGGCTATGCCAAGGTCAGGGTGCTGGATCAGAGAGAAGAGACTCTGATCTGAAGGGCTGGGTTGTGACATCTGAAAATCTTCATTTCCAGTTTCTCCTGAACCCTCTGAGCCTGACATGTTCCTATACTCCTGATTAATGCCTAGTCTTCCCCTTGCACGGAAACCATACCATATGCAACCGCCCTCCTAATAATATAAACTTTGCCTCCAGTTTTCCCTATTGACTACCAGGTCTACAGCTAGGATTAAATTACAACATAACTTCGCACAAATATTGCAATGAATGGCAACAGCTTTGTGTCAACAGGGAGGGGATATTTGACACTCAGAAAGTTAAGAGACAGATAAAATATGATGTCTCCAGGGACAGAGTGGATAGGTAGCACATAAGGATACTGGTCAATCAATACAATCAAAAGAAATCAAGGCAGGACATGGTCAGGAGGATGAGGCAATATTCTGACAAGGAGTCATGATTCCTCTCCTCATTTCTAGGACTGAGGCAGTTGTTGAATCTGGAAACTGTCAACAGAGGAAAAGGCCGGGTCCCACGGAAGAAGGCACTGGAATATCATAAAGGTGTCCACACTAGTCATTTCCCCAGAGGATCCTTTGTAATTTCTCTGGCTAACTATACCTTGGGAAAGGGAGAAGATTAAGATATTTTTGTATGGAGTGACAGTTATAGGAATCTACCCATTTTCTACTAAGCATTCTATTAAAGGTTTTTGGAAAACTGTAAAACAGTTTCAGTCTTCTCTGTATTTTGTCTCAGAAAATAGGTATTTTTTCCATGAGAGTTCTATTTAAATTAACATGGAGTAGTTATATCAGTAGTATTTTAATGGATTAATATTTTAAATGTTATCAATTTTAACTTCTTATATGGTAAATATCAATAGCTATAATTTGCATTACTATCTTCAAAAGGTTTGTTTGATTCTGTTTTTAGCAGTGACAGGGATCAAACCAAGGGCCTGGATCATGTTAGTAAGTGCTCTGCACTGGGCTGCATCCACAGCCCAAAGCTTTTAAGGCTTCCTAAGATCAAAGAATTTGAGAACTGTGAACTAGATCATAACACATGCCAAACTAGCTGTATGAGCTTGGAGCAAGTTGGATAGTCTCTCTGCCTGAATTTTCTCACATGTAAAATTAGGAGTTGAGGCCACATATGTCTTGTGCTTAGAATGCATGGAGCAAAAATGGTATGTGTTGGCTGTTACTGACATTTTTCTATTTTATTTGTGAAATAGGACATGAGAGTATCTATTGAAATTGATAGAAGTGGTGGAAGGTTGACAAACAGAAGATCACTTGTTAAAGCCATTGTGGCTAATGGGAATGACAGAGCTGATTAGGAAGATGTAGAAAGACTATAGAAAAATCCTGAGATACTTGTTGAGTTTGGTGACCATGAATTTAAAGAGGCAATTTGATTGTATGACTTTTTCCCCCAATAACATTCAAAGGTCAGTAGATGAAGGAAAAGGCAAACTGCTAAATTAGTGAATTGGGAATGTTCCAGTTGGTTTGACTGGAAAGAAAATATGGCAAATTGTGAGGGAAGTGATGAACTCTGTTGTATCAAGTGGCATTAAAGAAAGAGAAGGGAAGAAAGCAGAATGATGATCAACAAAGAGAAATAAGAGAGGTGAAGACATCTGAAGTGCCCATTAGCAGGTAAAATTGAGTGAGGGAGTTGGCAAGATAAGAAGTTAGTTGAGGTGTTTGGATTTTGGATTGCAGTGATGTAAGCGTTCCAATGCTGATGAGGCCCATGGTGTAGTCATGAAAATGGATTTCTGGAGTGCAGTGGGGTTAAGTAACGGCTGCTGGAAATGAAGAAATAAGGACCCACGAGAACGGGTCTTCCATCTAGATGTTGATGTGACTAAGACTGACAGCAGAAGTTGGAAGTCAGGTTCCAAGGTTTTCCATCAGTAAGAGGTGAGTATAAAACAGAAGGAGTGAGTGTAAAAGGTTGGCATGCCACAGAAAGGAGTGATCATCTGGGTTGGGGTAATGGGTAACAGTGGCACTCCCTGCTCACCAACACATAAGGGAAGGGTATGAAAATAGCCATCTTACGTCCGTGAAGGCTAAATCAAGAAGTCTTTTTGGGAAGAAGACAGTCAGATTTCAGTGAGGGAGGGCAGAGCACACACAGAGAATGTGGGAGAATTTACTCACAAAGGAATGGAATCCATTATGCATAAAAGAGACAGAACGGTAAGAATTTCATCAGGCGGCTGAAGCCACAGCTTGTGAAAAAACCAATAAAAAGTGGGATGTGAGGAATGGCATATTTAGATAAGGGAAAGGTTTTCGAAAGAATCAGACAAGAGTTTGGTGTTTGAGCAAATCCATTTTTCTCTTCCTTTCAGCTTTTTCTGCATTTATTTTTCTCTTCCCTTTAGATTTCTCACCTTTCTGGAAAAGTAAGCCTTTTGTCCCTTCCTGCCGTCTCCCTATTTTCCACCTCTCTGGCATCTCCTCTCAAAGTCTCCAGTTCTGGAATGGAAGGCCCCGCCCCCTGCGGGAGTGGGCGGATCCAGGGCGGAGCGAACGGAAGTGGGCGGGGCTATGGAGGGCCTTTCCTGTCGACGTGGGCCGTACAGACGCTGCTGACGTAGGAGGACATCCGGTTCCTCTCCCGGCCGTACCTGCCCTCCTGACGCTCAGTAGCTTCCCCTGAGTTTTGGTTCCCGAGTTGGATTTATCGCTGTGGCAGGCCGGGCTCACGCCATTTTCTGCGCCTCGGACCCCGTGGTGAGCCCGGCCTCCTCGGGGCCGCGCGAAGTCGGCCGGGAGCGCGCGAGGTACGGTGTCCCCGCGGCGGTGCGGTCGGCGGGCCGCGTCTTCCCCGACGCCCGGGCCACCCGGGGGTTCCTCGTGCCCTGTCCCCGGGCCTGTGTTCCTCATTTGGTGACAGCTGGAGCGAGCCTGGAGACGGGCTCGAACCTATACATGGCTGAGAGTTCACTCTTACATGGCGAGACACCTAGGAGAGAGAAAAAAATCGAGGCTCGGCCTTCTCTGGGTTCAAAACGCACCCTGGAGCCGGGACTACTTTCTCATCCTTTTGTGACCAGGCCCTCGGTTTTGCTGCATGGGCGTGGGCGTTGCGTAAGCAGTCGCTCCTTGCTCTTAGCCCTGGTCGGCCCTGACTACCACTTGGTTTTTGATCGGACCTTCAGCTGGGAAAACTTTGAAAGCCAGTTTTATGTGGTCCTTTGGTTATACATGGCAAACGTTTTCTTCAGCCTAAACTTAAAAAAAAGTAGGCACATTGCGTGTAGACAGGAGAGCAACTTTGAAAGTACCTTTGATCTCATCAGAGACAAGGGCGTAACTTCGTGTTCGGCGGTGGCACTTGATTATTGAGTGTCTTACCGATAGCACCTAGGAAATACCAGGTCTTTTATGCAAGGCTAAATGTCTTGGCAGCTGAAAACAACGTAAAAAGTATTCGGCCTGTGGTGATGGGGCTCTCCTTGGACTACTTAGTGAGACCCTGTTTCGCAAAAAGAAAAACACAAGCAAAAAAAAAAAAAAAGATTTAAACTGGGTTAACACACATGTTTTTAATAATTTCTTATTAATGACACGTGCCCACTGATTTAACGTCAAAGAAACATTTTCCCTTAATGAGAAAAGAAAACTACTTTGGCTTTTAGGATAAATTATTTCTTAATGTGTATTTTTACTTTTTAGAATTGATTAATAGTGGAAATAAGTGCCGTATTTAAGAACTTTGCTTTATTTGCAATGCTGTGTATCTAATGGCTGATGAAGGGCGTTAGCAGTGCTTCACCATCAAAATGACTGTTTAGTGAAAACTTCGGGAGAGTAGAGACACTTTGTTACACTATTTATGAAGTTTATTAAAATAGTAAATGCAACCAGGCAATTAAATGTTTTATGTTCTCTTGTTTAGAAAAAGGAGAAAATGCCTAAAAAAAAGACTGGTGCGAGAAAAAAGGCTGAAAACCGCCGAGAACGTGAAAAACAACTAAGAGCATCAAGAAGCACTGTAGACTTAGCCAAGCACCCGTGCAATGCTTCCATGGTAACGGCTTTTTCTTTTTTTTCCCCCCCTTTTATCAGTTGGTAGTTGAAAAACCATATTGTATTTATCTTAAAAATATTTCAGTAAATACTGCATTCATGCATTTGTTTTGTTACGGAATCTGAAACCTGAGTTAGATTTAACATTCAGTGATAATTTGACTTCTCTCTAAACTCCCTAACTTTTTGACATCTCTTCTGGCTTCCTGTTCTGTTACCATATTTGCTGTGCTGAATGGATTAGTCTTGATAATTTTTGGCTGCTTGGAATGGTGAAAATTGTGAAAAAGCAAAAATTTATTTCCTTTTTTTTTCTGTTTCTCCAATTATATTGCTCCCTGTTTCCACACACCTTTACTTTTTCTGTTCCCATCATTCTTTTTCCTTTCTTATTTTATTAGCTACATGTGAAATGCTTTACAAATAATAATTTAGGAAATATTTATTGTATATTTACTCTGTGCTACATACTATTTTAAGTACAGTGGGATACATACCCTCTTTCCACATGCTTCTATACCTCAGGTGTGTTATGTATTAGTTGGGACTTGCTTATTAATGAACAGCAGAAACCCAACTTAACTAACCCTAGGAAAGTGTATTAAATGATTGGAGTAAGTCATGTAGCCTTAAAAAACGGTGTGGCTGGCACTGAGGGGCAGCTGCAACCTGGACAACTTGCAGTTCCATTTTTTGCTTTTGCTTACTCTGTTTTTATTCAGATTGTCTTATTCATTTGTTTGGTTTCATAGTTACTGGTAACATGCATGTATCATATCACATATTGTTGAGCTCAGAGAAGAAAAGAACTCTGATAGTTTGGGTCTAATAGAATTACATAGCACAGATGTGACTGGGCATTCCCTTCTGTCAAGGACCTTTTGAGAGAAGAGGTGTGCTAGACAGACAAAACAATAAGTGACTGACCTACATAAATGTATATAATGAGAGCTAGGTCTTGATAAGTATTTTCAATAAAGGTACAGTGTAATTCTTAGGACTAAAAGGAGCTAAAGTTGAGTGCATGTGAAAGGGGTAGTCTACAGATGAGGTGGGATTATTACCAGAATGTTCAACAGGTAGAGGTTAAAAGAAAAATACTAAGATAAAGGCATGGAAAAGAGAGAGTCTTAAGACATACCGGGAGAAAGACTGTCAGTAGTGATTTGACTCCGTAAAGGGAATAGACTAGTAAAATGTGAAAAATGGTTGGGGAGCACACTGGAGAACTTTTAAAGCTCTGTTTGAATGTAGATATTCTGTGATTTTACTTATTTTGTGTTTTCTGCTGTTTCTGGTGTCCACTCTGTAGTATTTGGTTTCTTAAAAAAACAGGGAAAAACTAAACTATCACTGTGGTGAGCCTCCTTTGTAATGATGTCATTGTTTCCATATTGGGGAATGCGCAGAGAATAACTTTGTTGTATACCTTTGCTATTTAAGTTTGTGTAGATGCTTGTATATATGGGTGAAGTTGGAGGCTTTGGGATTGTAATACTTAAATTTTAATGTGGAAAACAAAATGTTCTTTATAATGTAAGTAATGTGCAATTTTCAGCCAGCAGAAAAATTAATCTTTTGCTTTTCCATTTTACAGGAATGTGACAAGTGTCAGAGGTAAATTTTCTTTCTTTTTCTGTCTATATGTAATGAAAGTCTCATTTTTCTAAAATTTACCATATTTAATTTTGTTTTACATGACAAGACGGCAGAAGAATAGAGCATTTTGCTATTTCTGTAATTCTGTACAGAAGCTTCCAATTTGTGCACAGTGTGGTAAGTATATAGTAAGAAGGAGTGCTTGTCCAACATCAGTTTGAACTTGTGGATCTGTTTTTATTGCTTGCAGTAATGTTATCTTTATCGTTAAAAAAATTAAGATAAAATGTTATATAATGTACCAAAACCAGCAAGTCCTAGTTCTCTCTCTTTGATATAATGATGGGGAAAAACTAAGGTAAAATTTTTATATATAGGTTAGCAATGAGTTGTTTTAAACATTATAAAATCATTTCAGACTAAACATTTGATAATCTTGAAGTTTTAATGATACCACCTTAGTCTTGTCAATATCTACTTTTGACATTTCTAAATTTTGATTCCTGCTGGTATGGCTGCAGTCTGTTAGACCATTGAGAGTAATTTATTCTATGTATATCTTGTTCAGATGTTTTTGGTAACTTCTTTTTTTGTTTGGGTCTTACCATATGATTCTTGAGTTTTCTCAAATGTATTTCCACGTGACTAAAATAAATTCTTAAGTCATGTGCCCAGGTTCAAAGCATAAATGGGAACTTTTATCTGAAATGGTTATTCAAAATGAAACCGCCATGTGGTATTTCACAGAGCAGCAAGATTGTTGTTTCCCAAACTGTCGTCCACATATTAGCAGGCATTTTTTTAAAAGAATGAATTTGAGAAATGAAGGATGTTCATCTTCTGATTTACAGCTGAGACTACGAATTTATATATGTTAAAAGTTCTGATGGACGACCTGCCATAAAGAAACCTGACTATTCACTCCAGATTTACCCCTCAAACTTTTTTGAACAAACAGGTCATTTCTACTTACTGATTCTCATACCTAGTCTTAGACATGGAACGATGGGGTAGCTGCCGCCTCATTTCCAGTTTCTTTTTCTTCCCATCTCCTGTCATACAGCTTTGTTCCTTAGGAAATCAAGATAGCAGACAGTTGAGCAGCTATGTTCTCTCATTTTGCTTTGTGGAGTCTTGGGTGATGAATGTATCATCAGTCTTCACCTAGTATCTGATAAGCAGATTTCCTGACAATTTTGGGGGTTGATAACTTACTTCTCAATAAGAGCATTGGGGGTATGTTGTCAGTTTTGGTCTTTGTACTTTAGTTTTTGTACTGACTTGAACACTATATTTAAAATTCTGTTAGAAAAATATTCACCTGGGGGCTGTGTTCGTACATTTGTATGTGTGGATAAAATATAAAATTCACTTTCAAGCATGGCCTTTAAAAAATGTTTTTATTCATCTAAAGATTCATCAGAATTTTAACTGTTAGAACATCATTGGATTACAAAGCATACCTGATTTCTGATTTTTAGTATGAGCATGAATTAGCATGTAAATTAATTTATTATATAATGCCTTTTTACTGATTTATTAATGCATTTCTAATCTCAAAAGTTCTGACTCAGGTAACAAGATCTCAGTTACCCATTTTTTTTCTTTTTAGTTATATAAGCTGTACAAGATGCTGATTCATTTTTTTTAAAGTTTTTTCTGTAGAAATTGGGCTAGATCAAGAGGAATAATTGAATACTTACATGTGCTACTTTGCAGCACACTAATTGTGCAAATTTCTTTATTAGGGAAAACTAAGTGCATGATGAAGTCTTCTGACTGTGTCATAAAGCACGCTGGTGTGTACAGTACTGGCCTTGCCATGGTGGTAAGTTCTTTGTCCAGGGATAAGAAAAAGTCATCTAAGTGGCAGTGCTTTGTGTCTTGTTCCAGTTAGTCATTTCTCTTAGTACCTTTCTAGTGTGTCTTATCAGACTTGAAAAAAATACCATTTACTTTACTGCAAACCCCTCTTAGACAACACTCAAGCTTTTTGTTCTATAACCAGCAAAACTCCAGAATTTAAGGATTAATTTTTTTTTTAATTTAAGGATTAATTTTTTTTTTTTTTAACTCAGGGCCTTGCCACTTGCTAGGTAGGTGCTCTACCACTGTGCCATAGCCCTTGATTCTGAATAGTTTTTTTTCAGCATTAAATTAAATTGCCTGTAATCTCTTTATTACATGTGGGATATTCTAAGGAGATTTAGTGTTTATTTTAAATAATAAAAAAATGCTTCGATTGTTTCATTTTGCTCATTTTTTCACTAAAATGTTTTAAAATATGAGTTAACTAATTTACTATATTCTATTTGATTTTATGCTTCATGTTCAAATTATAGTCCATAAGAAAAGTAAAACTACTTTTGTGTCAGGTGGAATATTTTATTTTTGATATCTTTCCATGATCATACAGTTTTTTATCATGAGGCTGACCTTTAGCTCATGGCCAAAACTTCTCTCCATAGACTTTCTCTCAGGCTTCAGGTGCCCACTCGCTTCCTTCTCTTGTCCCTTCAGGTATAAGGGTAGTAACTGCCTAATACCTGGATATTTTGTTCAAAGCCTTTGCTTATCAGTTTCCTCTTTTAAACATTCCTAGCTTATCTGGTTTGAGAGTACCTTCTCTTTTCTTGCTAGAATCCTGACTAATCCAAGAGATATATTTAAGAAAGATTTGCTGTCTATATTGATAATCAGTTTTTACAAGTCAAAAACATTCTGTTTGCTATTTTTGTTACCAGCTTTGAATGGTACATACTAATTGAAGTTTGGGAGACCCAGGTTCAAATCTGCTCAGCTGTAATCCAAATCTTGAATTTAGTGTTGGGACTTAATGTTTCTCATTCATAAAGGAAAGACAATAGTAAAATTATTTCTATTTCTGTATATTAAGATGTCAGTTGTATTAATACAGAGTTGAGGAATATTTTCTGTAGTTTAGTTCCCTATATTTACCTAAGTTTTTTCCACATACAAATGTTATAATGACATGAGGGTAAGGTGACTGAAGGAGTCGGGGGGAGAATGGCAGAAGTTCCATATTTTCTCAGTTATTCTAGAAGAGCTATGTGATTATTTTATAAGTTATGTAAGAGGGATTTTTCTTAAATAAGAAATGGTGGTATTTAAAATTTCAATTCAGTTACAGGAATTCGTATAGACAAGAAAGCTTCAATTGTGGACCCCAAACCTCATTTGAATTAGAATTCATCTTGAAGGCAGCACTTAGGATCCATGACTTAGTTTAATAACATTGGGGTGAGGATGTAGTTTCTTTTGAATTATAGCTTAGAGAATGTGTGTCTGTATGTGTCTATTACTGGGGTTTTGAACCTCAACCCTCGCACTTGGTAGTCAAGTGCTCTGTTACTTGAGCCATGACCCTGTCCTTTTTGCTTTAGTTACTTTTCACTGAGTCTCCTATTTTTTTCCTGGGTGGGCTGAGATCTTCCTATCTCCACCTCCCAAGTAGCTGGGATAGGCATGAGTCACCACACGTGGCTATAGCTAAGTTTTATATAGTGTGGATACATGTTGACGAATTTTTTTAGAGAACCCTCTTTAATTTTGGCTGAGAGTGAGTGGTAAAATCTCTTTAAAGAAGGTGCTTATTATTATTGAGCCTTGATAAGCTGCCAGAACGTACAGAATTTCAGTAGTTGCCATTAGTTGCACAACAGTCGCAGCTGGTCAAGTAACAGCAAGTAAATGTTCCTTTTTTTTGGTTGCAGGGTGCAATATGTGACTTCTGTGAAGCTTGGGTTTGCCATGGAAGGAAATGCCTCAGTACACATGCGTGTGCCTGCCCTCTCACTGATGCGGAGTGTGTTGAATGTGAGCGAGGTGTATGGGACCATGGTGAGTGATTAGACACAAGCAGTGAGCTTTGACTTAAATGAAGACTGACTTCTAAATATTCTAAATGCTGTTTAACACTTTTGAGGATACTGTAAATTCTAATTACTGGCAGTGTTTTGATGATTAGTTTGGTTGGAAAGGGACTTAAACCAGCAGTAGTGAGTACTCGTACTGTTTAGCTAAGCAGGAAGGGGCAGGGGTGTCAGGGAATCAGTGGTCTCTGAGCTGTGACTGTGAGTAAAGGGTATAAGTAGGCAGGGGAGGTGGGAGCCCCTGTTTCACTGCTCACTTGGACGTGCTTTAGCAGTTTCATGTAGGTTTTCACAGAACAAAAATAACTGGTTTGATGCCTGTGAAATCATTTGCCCTCTCTTTATAGATAACTTTTATAGATAAACTTTATAGATAGCTTTTATAGATAAGAGCTAACTAAAGTTTTGTCATACTTGCATTTGTGGGTTTTATTTTTAATCCAACAGGAGGCAGAATATTCAGTTGTTCTTTTTGCCGAAACTTTCTCTGTGAAGATGATCAGTTTGAGCACCAGGCCAGCTGCCAAGTTTTAGAGGCAGAAACATTTAAGTGTAAGTTTTTATATTGAATGTTCTTCTTACCTAAGGTTTTGAATAGTACAGATGTCAAACTTAAAAATCAGAATTTTATGCTATCTCTTAGGAACTTTGACTCGTATGTTTATTTTGTTTCTAGAATATTTCAGAACATGTAGTCCTGAATTCAGCAGGGATGCCAGTTGCACATTGGTTAAATCAGTTCATTTTGTGGGCTTCACCAGGCACTTCAGTGATCATGGCATTCCTGGTCCTGAGTGCCGATGTCATTTTTGACCTCAGTTAATGTAACAACCAAACCCCACCTTCCTTCCATTTCTAAACACCCTCAATTAAGCGATGCCACCCCAGCATCTTTGTGTGTTTATAGCATTTGAATCTAAATGGTAGCTACTGTGAGTTATAAGGTGGTAATAGCATTGAGAGTCTTTAGAAAGAGCAAAAACTGGTAATAATTGACAGGATTTTAAGATTAATCTGTTTCCCACAGGTGTTTCATGCAATCGTCTTGGTCAGCATTCATGTCTCCGATGTAAGGTATATTTTCATACTTACTTGGTTTTTGAACCCCTGTGCTCTTCCACTCTCCTTGGATTATTTATAGCTATAATTTATAGAGGACCTAAAATTATGTAGTTTAATTGTTTTATACAAAATACTTTTATTTTTTGAGACAGAGCTCACTGTTTAGCTCAGGCTGGCTCTGAGCTGCTTGTCTTATAGTTCAGGCTGGCCTCTTGCCTCTGCCTCTAGAGAGCTGAACTATAGGTATACACCACTACTCCCAGCCACCTTTCTTATTTTGAGATTGGAGGCTTGAAATTGAGCCTTCTAGTTGGCTTATGGTGCATTTGTCTCTAGTGCCGTAGTACATGTCTCCCAGGTCTCGGTTCGGTTTTTTACATATGCTTACATAGAACATTCTGAGCAGAGCATTCAGAGTATATTTTAATTCATGTCAAAATGTACCTGCTTGGAAGAGTGGGTAAAGTGAAGATTTCTATAATCTTTCTTAGGGTGTTTCCAGGTAGCTTTTGTTGGTGAGGAATCAAAGATCAAAGATACTTTATCTCAGAAACATTTCTCGGTTCTTGTATATATTCCTAACCCTGTCTCTTATTTCTCTCCCAAATCTGCCTGAATTCTACCAAATGACTTTCAGTTTGTTGAAAGTATTCATGCTCTCAGGCTTTTAGGCATTGTCTGTTATTTCCTTTGTCTGGAACTGTCTTCCATTTTTGGTTACTCCACTGCATCCCCACTCACCTTCAGATCTCAGCTAAGACTTGAATTCTGTGTCTGGCTTAGGCCCTCCCCTGCCCTCTCTGTAGTGCACAGAGCCTTGAGCTTGCCTCTGCTCCCCAGCTGAACCACGCTGTTCACCATTATGTTACAGGGACTGAGAATACTGAAATGTGTATAAATGAGTAAGTGTATGTCCATATCATTCTCTGTGTAGTAAGGCTGTCCCATGTTAGGTCCTGTTTCAGAACGAGTCCTGGCAAAAAACATTTTCCTTAAGAAACTGAAATCAGGAGTGTGCCTAGTCTCAATAAAATTCTTAGTCTTTCTGCCTTAAACTACCTTTAAATTTTCTTGAAATGCTGAATGTCTTTTCATATCTTTTACATTATTTACTTATTTATTTATTTTACTTCTGTATAGGCTTGCTTCTGTGATGAACATACAAGGAGCAAGGTGTTTAAGCAAGAAAAGGGAAAACAGCCTCCTTGCCCTAAATGTGGACATGAAACTCAGGAGACGAAAGATCTTAGCATGTCAAGTAAGGTTCCTCCTAAGATACCAGTGGAATGATTTACCTTCGTGCTTAGATTAGTTTGCCTCCCCTTCCCCCCCTTTCTCTTTTTCTTTCTTATTACCTCTACTTCTGTTTGAAAAGATGAATATGCTCTCTTAAGCAAAGGGGATTTTATAGCTTTGAAAATATGCAATATAGTTTCTCAGTTTGACTTAAGAAATATACCAATTTTCATCTTAATACTTAGTAGTTGTCTTAATTAATGACAATGAATGTTGGGATTTAAGATTAAAAAAAGGAGTAACTTTTCTATTTTTACTAAGCCTTCCTTAATAAATAATTGATAACTGTAAATCTTTACTATAGAAGTGATGATAATATTCACTTGGAAGTTGAATTCATTCTAAAGTTATTAGGTGTGTGGTATGGAACACAGTGCTTGCTATAGTGTATTGTTTTATGATTTTTATGGGACCTTTTTATGAAGGTTCTGCAACAGACATGTGACTAGTAATACAGCTCCTATTTTGCTAAAGAGAAGTTTGATTCTTTAATAAACGTGTTAGAATGGAACCATAATTCCAAATGACAGTCAAAGATGAAGTTGTGGAATGAAGTGAGATTGATGATTTTGCTGATCTACATCAGACTTTGTTACTATTAAGGCAGAAGAAATGAGTTTTTTGGGGCATCTGTAATATAAAGTTTCTGTGCTAAGAAAATTGTAATGATATGTGAAACTCACTGTATTCTGTTATTTACAAATTAGCTTTTTATTGACCAAATGACAGCATTTTAACTTTTAATGTGCCTTATTTTTAAAGAATTTTATTAGTCTAATTTTGCTTTCTAACTTTTTTAGATTTAATGAAATGATACTATAGTATTTATTAATTGTAATGGTGTTGTATAGACCCGTTACGTGAGAAAGTCTGGAATGGCCTACCTTTTTTGCTTGAGAGTAAGAAGCAGTCAGTGAAGCTCTGTCATTTTGCAAGTTACAGAGGGGATGAGGATGTGGAGCTTGGAAATAGCAAAAGGACATATGCATGCCTTGTTTGTGTTTTGTAGCACGCTCCCTGAAATTTGGGAGGCAGACTGGAGGTGAAGAAGGAGATGGAGCTTCTGGGTACGATGCTTATTGGAAGAACCTTTCCTCTGACAACTGTGGTAATGCTGGCTACCATGATGAGGAGGAGGATGAGTATGAAGCAGAAGATGATGAAGAGGAAGATGATGAAGGCGGGAAGGATTCAGATGCTGAATCATCAGATCTGTTTACTAATTTAAATTTAGGAAGGACCTATGCTAGTGGATATGCTCACTATGAGGAACAGGAGAACTAGGAGACCTGCTTGTCCATTGGCAGTTGTATGAGAGAAGCAGGAATGTGTGCTTGATGAATCACATGTGGATGTTCAAAAGCCCACCTGGGTCTTGTGCAAAAGACAAGTCACTCTAGGCCCAGGAGTAGAGTGTAGCATTTTTATAGGACTGATAACCAGACTTTTAGTGTAAGAAAATGAGTTTCAAATGCAAGGTCTTTATTGATCCAGGCAAATGAAGTATCATGGATTGGATTGTTGCTGATCTCAGTAATCTAGTAGGTTTTGCCAAGTAGATACACATATTCAGGATAAAGGAATAGAAAGGTAATATATTTATTTGAAATTAAATTACTGTTTTTATTTAAAAAGCAATGCTTAAAAATTCATTGTGTCTGATTTTGTAAATTGTAATTGATTACTGTATTTTTCTTTTATGTCTACCCACAGAGTAAAAGTCATATTCTAAATTTTCATTAAAGATTCGTTATCTTAGTAATCATGGACGTTTTACTCGTTGACACATTCATCTCTTAACAATGAATGTCCTGAGCAGTACCTATTAATGCCTAAATATATTGACAAAGTTGACTACCTAGTTGGGTTTTTCAGACACACAATACCAGAAATAGTGTTACCCAGGAAATTTCATTTCTTTTTTTGAACAAAGCAAGTATTTCACTTAAACACGTTGATGTTTAATTTCTCATTCTCAGGTTTTTCAGCTCATTGGAATAATCTGAATATTCCAGTATTTTTCTGTAAGCTCCATTTTTTGCCTAATTTGGAAATAGGGAACAGGTTGATTGTGTAGTAAACATTAAGATAGGCAGTCTAAACCCACCCCATCATTGATGGTACATGGAGAATTGACAGTCCCTGGTACAACCTCCAGTTGTTGCAACTTCCTAATAGATGGAAGCAATGTAGTTAGTGGTAGAAAAGAAAGCATATCTGACTGGCTGGCATTATGGATGTATGGAGAAAATTTGGATGACTATTTTTATGCCATCCTTGTTCTGGAGAAACCAGAGCATCTGGTGGCAATAAGAGACAACAGAAGGCAGATGTGAAAACCACAGGTGCTCTGGTTGCATGTTTAAAAGCTTTTCATGTCTTGGCAGTGGAAGGGCAGTGAAAACAGGACCACCCAGCTTAATAGTCTGAATTGAGCCTCAAAGATGTTACCAATCAAGATAGGTCTGTCATGCTAAGGTCAGGGTACTGCTTGGGTAAACCTCAGACCCTGACAAGCATCCGAATGGATGCTGTTAAAGGTTTTACTTTCCAGACTTCAAACTTTTTGAACCTGCAGTCAGCCTGTTCCTCCCAGTTCAGGGTGAGCATTGCCAACCACATTGCAGAGACTGCTCCCAGCAGTCTCTTTGTGCCCTTTTGGTAATCACCCTGTTTCCAGGCCATTATAGTTGAATCTCCAGACCTAAAATTTGGTTTAAGTAAAAATAATTCAAATAAAACTCAGGAGGTTCTAGAGCTGAGGAGATAGACTATAACTCCGCAGGAGCTAGAATTAATTTGGTATGTACTGGACAGTTGGAAGAGTGTGCTTGAGATGAATCACTGCTTGAGAGGATCAGAACAAGAAAGAGTTTGATGGCAGCCCTCATACTAGTTCCTTGAATTGCAGATTAAGAGTTGATAGGGTTAACATCCTGGTTTGTATCCTGGGAGGTGGTGTGGTTTCATTACCAGGATGGCCTCTAGGTAAGGAAAAATCAGTGGCCCATTTGGAGCTAGGATTACTATAACAGATGGAGGAAGGGATTTAAAAAGCCTAGGGAAGTGGGTATCCTGTAATGGAAAGGCTGCACAGATGATTGTGGCCAAGAGAAGGCTCAGTGGACACATCAGTGTGGCCATGCAGACACGCACTGATGACATGATGCAAATGTCACTGAAAAGTGTAAGGTAGCTGTATGACAGGGAACAACCAATATAGAGCTCAGCTTGCTGATCATAAGTGGCCAAGTAGCAGTGACTGAGTGCCTGAAGTCAGGGGATTACAATGTAATGACTATCAAGGTGAGAATATTTGTCTAGAGGACCAACCCTGCAGTTGTGGAAGTTAGTACAACACAGCTCCCTAACAGACAGAATAAGTGGGTAGCCCACAATGCTACTGTGCTAATAAACATACATTAAGGATAGATGATAAGAAGGCTGAGGGTGTTCACCCCAGTAGAAAGTTGCCATCCCTTGTTTGATCTCTGGACTCAAGCCAGTTTTCACACCTAGAATCCACTAAGCAGAGATGACTGAGCAGTCCCAGCAGAAGGACCCAACAAAACTGTTCTGTCAGCATAGTTAATTCTCTCAGTGCTTTTCCAAGGGATCTGCAGCTATTTACTCTAGTAATTGTACCTGTGGAAGTGGAATACAAGAATTTCTGGCCTGCAGGAGATGAGTCTGAATGAACATTTAGTACCCAGCAACTCAGTGTCCTTGTTGCTTCCCTGTTAGACTGAGGGAGGAGTTTGCTTCTGCAGGAGTCCTGGGCAAATTTAAACTTCCTATAGTTTCACTGGGTACATAGAAGTCCAAGTGGAAGCCTTTAAAGCTGACTTCCTGTGCTTTTCTTCACTGTAATAAAAAGCCTGTTTATATCAGAAAAAACATTCTGTTTATAAAAGACAGTTTATAACAGAAAAGACTTTTGGCTACAGTTTTGGTGGTTCAAGTCCATGACTTGGGGCTGTGGAGAGGCAGTAAGGTAGGCTCCCGCCATTCACTCCATGGCAGAGCAAAACCACTCACCTCATGGCCCAGAAGCAAAAGAGAATGAGGAAGAAGCTGGGGTCTCACAATCACCTTTAAGACTGCTTCCCAATGACTTAAAAACCTCCCACTAGGCCCCACCTCTCAATGGCTCTATCGCTTTCCAGTAGTACCACCCTGGGCCAGGTCAAGCTTTAAACTTGCAGGTTTTTGGAGGGCATTCAGAAGTCAAGCTGTAGAACTCCCATGGCTCCTCACTCAAGCCAAGAGTAATAGACAGTGGTATTGCCTATAGTGACAGCAGAACTTAGTGGTTCTTTTACGGATCCAAAGGATTCAGAGACGATGTCCTACCTTATCTACAAGACTTACCATTCTGGCCATCCAGAGCTGGATAGATCCTGGAAGATGACTAGACAACTACAAGCTCAGGTAAGTAATAGCAATTGCAACTGCTATGTAAGTATGGCATTTTTTTTGTTAGAGCAGTTCTATATGGCAAAGCATATAAAATATCCTGGATTGTGCATACAGAAAAAGAGATCAGAAATAATTTGCATTCCCCTGGGATGAACAACAATGTACGTTTATAGTTTCGTCCTAGGGCTTTGTTACTTACGCCACTTTATCCTAAAGATCCTAGATCTGTTATATAACAACATTATGTTGAAGAGGCTGAATGAACAAGAAGGGGCTAGAACATGGTGGCCTTGGTAAGACATGTATGTTCCAGAGGGAGGAGGTAAACCTTAAGGACTTTTAAGAGATAAACGATGTGAACTTCATACCATACCCATATCAATTTTAGGATTCCAGTGGTTAGGGTATGTACAAAGTAAACAGACCACATCTACCTCCTACCCTGAAGAAGGGACACTGCTTGGAGCACCTTGAGTTCTGGAAGCAGGATAGTAATTTGCCCATATACCAGGTGATAGAAAAAGCTGCCTCCTTTGAGAGAGGGGACCACAGCAGCTGATCTGTGTTGCAGTGAAAACAGCTGCTTTCTGTGCCATAGGGTGGATGCTAATATATATTGGAGGCCTGAGTGATAGGAAAAGGTGTGTTGTGGACCTCGTGGCAAGCCACAGGAAAGTGAATCAATCCCAGTGCAGGCCCATACGGTTCTAAAAGTTATGCCAGCCTCATGTGGAGTTACATAACCCCGAGCTGGACAGTATGTTCTCCAGCTTTCCAAGACTGACCTAGTTAGCACCAATTTCTGAATGTCAATCCTGTTGGCAACAAAGGTAAATGCTAAGCCCTGTTAGGGTATCACTGCTTTAGGAGACAGATCAGGCCAGTCTTCCTAAAAAGGCCAGAGGTTCATTTTCAGTGGAATAGATTTACATTCTGGGAATGGGCTTGCCTGCCTTCCTGCAGGGCATCAGCCAGCATCAGTACCTGATGGCTTACAGAGTATTTGATTCACTGGCATGAAATCCTACATCAAATATGCCATGTTAGGGAATCACCCTTAAAGTGAAGGAGGTTCTGCAATGGGCCCATGACCTTCATGTGCTACACCACCCAGCAGCTTCCTGCCTGAAGATGTGTTGCAAGGATGTGCCCTGGATGCAGCTGAAGCAGCAGCTTAGAGGCAAATAGCTAAGACTTAACACCATCCTTCATGACACAGATATGTGTGGAATTCAAGATTTTCCTTTTCCTCCGTGTTCCCCATGCACAAAATGCATTATGATAGGTTGAATAAGGTCACCACAAAATCCATGTCCAGTTGGAACTTCAGAATGTGACTTTATTTAGAAATATGGTCTTTACAAATTCAATTACTTAAGATGAGGTCCTTCTGGGTTAGGGTGAGCCCTAAGTCCAAAGACTGTCATTCTGATAAAAAGAGGAGAACGAACACAGGTAGACGAATGCCATGAGAAGAGGGAGTAAGAAGTTGGATGACACAGACCAAAGAGCTGCTGTCACTCCTTATGATTCTCTGAGTCACATGTTTCCATTCCTGTGGCTCTGGGTTCTGGATGACTAGAACTTTATGTCCCCAGTGGACCCAGTAAGTGAAGTGTCCCAGTGATTTATAAGTCATGCCTGTCACCTTAGTATTTGTGGCTCTTTATGCCAGGGACCAAAAGGCAAGATGAGAATTCCCTGTCTTGACATAAATATGGTCGGGTTCTTTTGGGTTATGGATACTGGGAGAAACGAGTGTGCTCCAGACAATTCACATGAGCATTCTAGGTGCTCCTTTGCCACTTGGATTGTAAATGGACGGGGGTGGACATGACCAACACACCACAGTGAAGGGCATCATACCTAGGCCCTGTGGGGGAGTGGTCTTGACCACGCCAAAGGGTAAATCACCAGGAGCAGGGGAGGTCGCAGCCCTCAGGAAGCTCCAGTGCCCACCTCAGCTACAGAAAGTTGCCATGACTGAGAACGTCTGGTAACGGGTGACTTAGTTTGCTGTTTTGGCTCCACATGACCCAGTATCTATTGAGTTAACACCCCTAGACATGATCTAATTGCTGACACTTAAGTGCGTGGAGCTCGATGTAGTTTCCACTTCTGCCTTTTTGTTCATGGTTTGGCAAACTCTTTGCTGGAATATTGCAATGATGGATGTGAGGGTGACCTTTATAAGTCACCTCCAAGCTTCTGCTCGTGCAGAATGTAATTGTCCATTTTGGAAAGCGAACAGACCATATAAGCATGCACAGCTGTGCTTCACAGAATGACCCTGGTTACTTATTTGCCTAATGGGAACAATTCAAAGGATT